TTGTTTTTGTTAGGTTTTTTTTTTCTTTTTTTCCTGTTATTTTACATTAGTATGTTTCTTTCCTGGACTAATTCTGTATAGTCTGTGCACACTCTAGTATGAAGTTGTTGATGTCTCTGTTCATTTACCTTAATAATCAGCTATCAATTAGTCAGGCATTTCCAGAAATGGCTTCAACCCATAGATTTCACACAATTACTAAAAGACTATGTGCACATTTAGACACTTATCCTTCAATTATTGCCTCTTCAGGGCCTAGGCAAACCATAAACAAGAGAATATTGAGACCTATGTATCACCTTTTCCCCAAGTATTCCTTTTTAAGTTTTGACTATCCTCTTGTTTTCCCGGACTGTTTAGCATTAATCAGCCGAAATATTAAATAATTGCCACTGATTTTGAATAGTACCCTATGGATTATTCCTTATTCACACACCAGCAAGCTCAAGATCAGGTCAAGTAATAACAATAATGCTACTTGGAATTTCAGGGAAATACAACATGGATCATACTTCTCCTGCACTCAGAAGTAATTCTATGAGGTGTTCCATACACATTGAGCTCTGTCCCCAGTCTTTCTCAAATGATTTATCTTCCTATTTTGCAAGTATTTGATTAATTTTCAAATATCTGAAAAAGTGAATATAACATTTTGCTTGTGATTTTTTCTATAGCAAAATTTATTTATGTACCTCCTCATTCTAGAATTCTGAAAGTTTTGACCTCCTAAGATTGAATTTTGAAAGTGTTTGATTAAAGGAAATGAAAAGTAGAACTTTATAAACCAGAAAATTTTATAAACCATTTAATTGAGGTAACTTTCTTGAAACATAGAATTTAACAACTAGGCAAAGACTGTGAATTCATTTTCATTTTCATTTTAATTGTATTTTAGACAACAGTATTATTATCATGTATTTGGGATGATAATATTGATAGTTTTGCCTTAGCACAATTATAATTATCCTGTTCTTCATAAAAGTATAGTCCAAAGAGTTTTGACATACCTGAACAGTCCATTGAACATGAGAAGGATCAATTGTATCAACAATATTATGCTCATTAGGCAGAATGAGAGAAATTTGAACTCCACATGGTGAGAAATAAATTATATGAAGTCTTTGACTTGCCATTTCAGTCAAAAAAATGTAGTGTATCTTTTATAAAAGAAAAGAAAAATTTATTTTCCTTGCACTTCTTATCAGAGAGAATGAAGCAGCATATCTAACAGACCTCAAGATTTTGTAGAAATAAATCACCAACATAGATATAATTCCAGGCCTGGAGTTTGATCCATATGTAAAATAATATAGAATACTGACAACTTTTAGTAAAACATTTGTTCATACTGTGTTGCACCCAGCTCTGTTATTTAGGCCAAACAAACTATCAGACCCTAAAATTCTGGAGGAGTCAAAGGTGGAAAAAGATGGAATTATGGATCTCATGGAGAGTCCTAGTGAATAAATAAAATGCAGAAATGAAGCCATGCCATTTGTAGCATAGAATTATACCTCTTCTAAAACAACATATTCTTTTTTACCCAGCCTTAGAAGATTTGGAATGCTTACTCACATGGCACCACTTGCTCATGTTTTATAATTTCCATTGGGGTTGCACCCTGCTTACCCAATGATGTTATAAAGTAGGACAAGCACAGTTCATCATACATTGAAAATGGTGCATATGAAGCCAAATCAAGAAGAACAGAGGGCAAAAATTTGCATGTGCAGATGAACAGGTAGCATGGGCCTCAGATGGCCATAACAGGGTCCTGTGTAATAGCTGAAGAAAGATGAAACATCCCAAGCTTGATTTATACAGAGTTTGGATTGGTATGTGAGAGAAGATAAAGGTTGAATATTATCTGCATGATGATCATAACCCAACACAGCTTTGAAAAGTCAGTATAGAAGTCAATTCTTTTAAATGGGTAGACCTGAAGCATTGCATCATATCATGAACTTTGTGTCGAAGAAATGCTCCAGGGTACAAAAGTAGATAGATATTCAGTGATCAATGACTGTCTCCATGGTCAGGTTCCTGTAAAGAAATGAACTGGAAGATTGGAGACATAAAGGTCTGGTGCAGAGGCATATGGATGAATATGTGGGCATGGCATTGACATATAAAAATGTTTGTATCTTAATTGAATATCCACAATAAATCATTCTGTACATAAAAGCAGAAACGCTACTGAGCATCCAAGAAAAAATGATTCACATAGTGGATATTACTGATGTTAGCAACTATATTTGCCTCTACAGATAGCAAGTATGGACACAACCCAAAATCTACATCTATATTTATGTTGATATCTATATATATGTATGCTTTATTTTTTCTCTTTTGCCTATGTGTTCATCATGCATATATACACCAAAAGACAGAAATAATGATGTTTAACAAGAACTTAATTTATAATGGCCTGTGATAGTTCATAATCTTTGAAATGCAGACACCAAGATGTGAGTAGACATGTAAGAATTTATTAATGGAAATGCCTGTGAAGGAGAAAAGGGAGGGAGCCAGAGGAGACAGGGATGGTTTTCAGCATATGATACCATTCAGAGTCCTCTGAAGTAGAGCAGAAAGAAAACATGTCTGGGATCTCCTTCTGGACCCTCTGTTATGTTCGACTGATACATTGCCATTTTTATATCAATGTCATGCTATCTTAATTATTGCATGTGTTTAGAAGTTCTTAAGAACAATTAAAATATGTTCTCTCATTTTATTTTAGTTTTTCAAGACCACGTTTGCTATTGTAAGCATTTAAATTTTCCAAAAAAAAATTTTACTATTCATCTATTAAATTTTATAAAAATTTATTAGATGTTCACTTGGGATTAAAGTTTGTTTGTTTGGTAGTAGGGATTCAACCTAGGGACATTTAAAAACTGAGTCATATCCCCAGCCTTTTTTTGTTTGTTTGTTTGTTTGTTTGTATGTCTGGTTTTTGCTTTGTTTTGAGAGAGATTTTTATTAAGTTGCTTAGAGCCCCACTAATTTGCTGATACTAAACTTGAACTTGTTATCCTCCTGCTTCAGCCTTCCTGGTTGCTGAGATTACAGGCATATGCCACAGCATCTGGCTTGAAGATGTTTTATAAAATGATTTGAGAAGAAAAAAAATTTGTTTCTGAGTCTTTCAATTTGTGTACATGTATTTTTTTCATTTAGGCCTTATTTCACTTATTTTATAAATATTTTACAAATTTCAGTAATTAGTCTTGCATATATTCCATCACATTTGCTTATGTAATTCTATTTTTGAGATTTTATTTTGCTGCAAAACAAAAAGTAGATGTAGACGTGGTAGGATCTGTTAGTGATAAATGATTTCAGGTTTATTTTTTAAAGTAACTCTCAACCATTTTTTAAGTAATATTTTATTTATTATTTTCCGGTTTATATTACTGTTTAGCACATTTAAAAATTACTTACCTTGATGTGTCGAATCATAAAAAGAATGTAATATTAGCCAAACTTTTCTTCAGGAAGCAATTATTTTAGTCACTTCCAAGAGTGAAGGTTGGAGCAGACATTCTTTGCCTTGCCATCTTCTTCTGCTGGGCTGGCTTTCCATTGCTTTTTTCCCTCCTTTTTCCTGTTTAAGCTTTCAAGGCGGCCTTCCATCAGTCCCTCACCCTGTGTAGGTTCAAAGCCCTATCAACAGTGCTCTCCCAAACTCAAGGTACTAATAGTGGGAGCTCTAGGCAAAGGCACTCTGGACTATCTGAGTAGGAAATGACCCAGATCTAGCTTATCCTCCTAGGATGTAATTCAATTTCCCTTCTGGGTCTCAGATATAATTCCATCTTACCATTTTATTTCTTTATATTTTAATTTTTTTTTTTGGTACTGGTATTTGAACCCAGGGGCACTTAACCACTGACCCACATCCCCAGCCCTTTTTCATATTTTATTACAGACAGGGTCTCGCTGAATTTCTCAAGGCCTCACTAAATTGCTGAGGCTGGCTTTGAACTTGCAATCCTCGTGCCTCCAAAGTCACTGGGATTAAAAGTGTGCACCACTACACTCAGCAACTTATCATTTTAATTAATTAAAAAATGTATTTTAAATATTTTTAACAAGTTCATTTTGTAATCAAAGGATTTAGAATCTTGAGTGTGCTGCACTACAGACTAACAATCTTACACATGTTTTATTAAATGCAGTATAATTCCACCAATCATTAGATGCATATTTCACCTTGTGTTAAAGACATAGAGGATGTTCTATAACCCATGACTCTGAGATTATGCTCTTGCTGTTTACTAAGGATCAATAAACTTCAATGTGGTTTACAATAGCCTATATTCTAAATTTGCTTTATGTCTCACTTCCTTTTGTTTTAAATTTGCTATGTACTATTTTGATACAAATACTTTTAAAAGGTTAAAGTGACATTGTATATTACTCAAAATAAAGTAGCATGCTTTTGTTTTTATTTTTATTTACTGAGGTTTCAAAGTTAGCTATGCATACTTATATTCACAGCATTTAAGGTGAAGATTTGCTTTTTGTGTTTCTGTTGAAATTGTCCTTTACAT